ATATATTGAAAAAATGTTGTGTAGTAATCAGCTTAATTTAAGGGTAATATACAATTCTTATGCTTTGTTTTCAGGAGGTTCTTTAAGTTTTTACAGATGTCAAAAAGATCTTGAAGACACTCAATTGCTCGTTCTCCACACTGATTTGTTCTGGGAATTTCCAGTTGATGGTCCTTGATTCCAAAGCTTTTCCATTGAGTTTAACACTTTTTGGTGACCATGCAAGCTGCTACATAGCTTCCGATAATCATCTAAATTTGGTCAGTAAACCAATGGTCTGGCCATTTGTAAGAGCTTAATTTACAAATGTCGAGTAGTGAGTTCTCTCTGGTAAAAAAACAAAAAACAAAATGCAGACTTGGATTCGGAAGTTGATGCTGTTTCTGTTGCCATTACTGTCATAGTAAATGGACTTCAATGACATTTTGCTTCTTTTGGATGGATGGATAGTTTTTCGACTAGCATCCTTCCCAGTTGAATACTTAAACTGTCCTTTGCTTTCAATCTGAAGATGATACAATCTTTTGACCTCACTCACGCAAAGCCATCGACCATCATTTTTTTGTGATGCCAAAAATTTCATTCAATAAATCATATTTTCTTTGTTTTACACATTCTTCAGCACTTGATCCAGCTTTGCCAACATGAATGGATAAATGTGGAAAATTTAATTTTATTTGCCATAAACTTGTTACTTCTTTATCAATTTGCTTTTAATCCTAGAAAGTTTCAAAGATTTCTAAAAACATCCAGAACAGTCCAGAAAATTTTTGAAAGTTCTATAAGATTCAAAAAAATTTCTAGGCTTTAAAAAGCCATAAAGCTACCTGCAAATACTACTTTTATATCATTTTAAATTGTTGTGGGTGGCCTTTTTCGGAAATTACTTAGAATGAAATCTATTTTCATTACTTTGGAGTAAAAGTTCATTGATTTATGACACAGCAAATTAATGATTTTACAAAAAGTAAAGAAGTCATAACCCTAATGTACAATCTGCCGCGCCTATTAAGCAAAATATAAAAAAAAAATTTTATATACATTTTTATATAAATTGTGTGTATTTTTACAAGTTTCTTTTTGTTATACAATATAACATGTGTACAATTTAATAAATAGGGCTGTGTATAAACTTTTTTGAAAAAAGTGTTTGTAACAAGCAAAAGATGATCAAAAAGGTGAAATTGTTTATAAAATGTTAATTCTTTATTTATTCTTCCAAATCAATTTTATTCCCTTCAAAGTAATCCCTGTCCAATAAAAATGTACTTTTTCCAACGCTTTTTCCTGTCCTCGAAAAGTCTTTTTTTTTTTTAAATATTTTAAAATTAAAAGATAATTTAAGTAAACAACCAAATTAAACAACAATATCTTTCAACACATTAAAAATAATTTAGATATTAGGATCTTTATGATAAAAGCACAAGTTTTGCCTTATTATATCAAAAGGACAAGCTTTGCCTTGTTTTTCAAAAGGACGCACCTCTTAAGTTAAAAGAACAAATTAAAAATAGCAGAATTACTGATTATAAACTAACACCCAAACTTACTACCAAATTTTAAAACCAACTGTGTAAATTAAGAAAAGAGAATAAGCTAGACACAACTATGTATTTCAAAATGTATATGTCAGATTGTGATCTACCTAGAATATACAAAATGATTAAAGCGTACAAACTCAAAAAAAATTGCCCAATTCATACTGCTGTATTAACATTCAACATACCACATTATAGAATATTGGAATATCTTAATATTATTCAACCAAAACTAATTAAAAACAAAAATAGACTTATTAATTCAAATAGTTTTGTTATTGAAGGCAATTGAAAAAGATACCGATGAAGTTTAATTTTTATTTCATATATTTAACTTATATCTGTCTATACTCATTGAAAAAGCTATTCCAGTAATTATTGATATATTGAATGCATTGGGAAGTAGTGCAATAGTTCTTAATCAGATTGATAGTAATATTGTGACAAAAAAAACAACTGAGGAGCCATTTTTTATTAAACTAGTTGTCGTAAGCATTTGAAAAACATTTTTTGTACTTTTTAATGTTATTTTTTTAAAGGGATCCCTAAGTGCTCCTAACATATAATCTCATATGAAAGAGCATAAAAAAAAATATGTAAGTTTTTTTTCTTTTTTGCTAAATTGTAATAATAAATGCATGCTAACAAAAAGCAATTGCCGAAATCACTAAAAAACAACTCCATTTTGATTTTATTTTTTCACCATTAAAACTCGATTGTTAGTCGTTAAAAATCACGTTAGTACGTCACAACAACTTTAGCATATCTACTTGGATTTTCAAGTAAAAAAAAGTCATGATTAAATAGTTAAGTTTTAATCAAGTTTTTTTAATTAGTTTTGCAAAAACAGTATAATAGCATTCGGTTGAAAGACGTCGTTAAAAAAAAAGTTATAAGTAATAGTTTTAAATAGTTTAGAACTTATAAAAAAGTCTTACAGGGCTCGTATTAAGCGTATCGCGATCGCGATTGCTACACACACTTTTGTGATTAGTTTTTTCTTAAAAAAAATCTTTTCGCGACTCGTTTTTTTTTTGGTTGATTAATTACTTTTTTTCTAGCTTAGCATTTTTTTTAGCAATTCTTAAAAGTCAAAAAGAACGTCACACAGAATTTATTATTCTGAATAGATAGATGAATAGATGATTTGCTTTTAACGTAATTTTAACGTAACGTAACGAGATTTTCTTTTAACGTAAACATTTTTGAATTTAAATTACTTTAAATCTCTGCGTGGAAAATTTTTACAAGGTTGTTAAAGCAAAAAGTTGAAAAGTTGGTTTTTATCTTTGTTTATCAAAACTTCATGTTTAAAATAAGGCTTAAAAACGTTAGAGCAAAAAAATTACTGACTATTATTTGCTGTTTGAAAAAAAAAACTAATAAAAAAGAAATAATATATAATTATTTATTAATATATTATTAGTTAATTCTTTTTAATTAGTTTTTTTTTCAAACAGCATAAAAATGCTAATAAAAACCAGCAATTTTTTTACTTTAACGTTTTTAAGCCTTATTTTAAACATGAAGTATAATTCGATTTATTAAACCAAATTTTTTTGTTTTATCTTTTATTGGAAAACTTGAAATAGAAAAATTAAATAAAAACAATAACTATTTAAATGAAAAACTTAATTATATTTAAACTTTTATTAGTCCTTTATTTAAGAAACAATATATTATAAAAAACGTGATATCTAATTTTTTATTAAGTTTTTGACGATTTATTGACTAAGGGTCTGCGTCTGCTCGTATTCTCTCGGAAGTTCGGTATGAAACGGTAAAAAATGTGAGTATTCGTTTCGTTCCGTTTTTACGAAACAAAAAATATCATTTTGTTTTGTATCGCATTTATACGAAACACGTAAATCTTGTTTCGTTTCGTATCATGTTGTTACGAAACGTGAAATTATTTTTTTGATTTGTACCGTTATTTACGAAACACAATAAAATTGTTTCGTTTCTTATCGGTTTTTACGGAATATTTCATAACTCCCCGCCCAAACAGATATTTCACGATTCCCATGCCCTCGAGCAATACATAAACTTTTACGTTTAATACTTACTAACTCAATGTTTCGTAAGTCAAAGTTTAACTAAAAAAATATATTAACAAAGCAATGCAATAGCATCATTTTCATAAGGCTTAGCGCATCTAAGGAAGTTAAAAAAAGATATTGTCTTCTGTAGGTAGGTTTTAGTAAAACTGATGAACTTAAAGTTAAAATTTTATTACAGTAAAACCGTTTTACTGTAATAAAATTTTAACTTTAAGTTCATCAGACATAAATTATGTATTTGTTTATAAACTCGCATGAAGAGTTTGAAATCATTGTTTGAATTAAATACTTCAAACTATATTATATAACATTTTAAATGCGATATTGTTGTGTTAACTTGAAATATTTTGCAAAACTAATTAATTTATTGTTTAAAAACCATAGTAAATCTCAATCATATAATCATGCCTATAAAAGCTACAATTTTATGGAATTATTTCAATAAAGTTACTGTGTCAGGTGTTAAGTGTGGGGAATGTAAAAAGTGTCAAATCCAAATCAAGTTAACTGATGGATCCACTAGTGGTATCAGGTACCATCTGAAAACAAAGCATCCCACTGACTACGCTACGATGTTAAGAGCCCAAATTGAACTTGAGCGCCAAAGAGAAGAAGATATTAAAGAAATTACAGAAGCTGCCTTCGAACTGAATGACGCATACAGTAAGTTTCTAATTATTTTTCATAAAATAATGTTTTTCTTGTATAAAGATAATTTTCATGTTTAACTTTAATTTTTATTTCGTTTTTTTAGATCAACGATCACAAAAAGGCTTATCTAAATGTGTTAATGAGGGAACTATTGGGAAATATTCTTCACAATCAGGCAGGCAATTGGAGACAGACATGGTAATCATGTCATACATTGCCAGGTCAAGTAGTCCATTCACTCTAGTAGATGAACCATGCTTCAAAGAAATGGTGGAACATTTAAATCCAAAAGTAATTGTGAAACATTCCTCGACTTTTTCAAGGTACAAGCTGCCATTGCTTTATGAAAGCGTTATGGATACTGTGCAAAACCTAATTGAAAAAGAAGTTTCCACTTGTCAACAGGTGGCTATCACCACTGATGGTTGGACCTCTAGGTCACAGGATCCATACATGACTCTTACGCTTCACTATATCAATAGTCAGTTTGAACTGAAAAAATATGTTCTCAACTTTGACAATTTCATGGGAAGACACACTGGTTACCACATTAGCAATTTTTTTTTTTTATGTTGATATAATTTGTTCTTGTAAATATAAATTTGTAAGTGCAAAAATAATTTAAAAAAGTAAAACTTATCCTTCCGCTAGAATAGCGTTTCTTCTAGGATTTTGTCAATTATTGAAAGAATTTATAATTTATTGTAAAACCTAAAAACTGCATAAGTTATCTTATAAATCATTAATTTTTCTTCATTCTTGTTTAAGGCTCTGGAAGAAATGATCCAAAAATATCCGGTATTGGACGCCGTGCCCAAGAAAGTCATTGTCCACGATGCGGCGGCAAACATGAAACATGCTGTGTCAATCATGAACAAAACAAAATATGAATCACTGTTGTGTGCAGACCACCTACTAAACACTAGCCTACTACATGCTACCAATGAAGTGCAAGAAGTCAAAGAATGCATAGATATTGCCACACAACTATCTAGCAAAGTCCACAGATCCACCTTAGCTTGTCAACTTATTGAAAAAGAGTGTATGTTGCTCCGTGTAAACTATGTTAAAATCATTGCTCCGGTAAAAACCAGGTGGAATTCTAACTGTTTTATGCTGGAGTCAATCCTTAAACTTAAAGATGTGTTGATTTCTCTTAGAGAAAAAGATGCACTAAATAACAACCCACTACAGAACGTTATTTCAAGTGACAACCAATTTTCACTGATGGCTTCACTGATGCCAGTCTTAAAAAAAATGAAGATTATGTCAGATTGCATGTCCAAGGACACTGAACCAGTGCTTCATCATATGCTAACTATGCTTTATAAAACTGACAATTTTCTTCATGACCACATTGATATGGAAAACAGAGAAATAGTTAGTGCTTTTTGTAAAAAACTAAGTGAGCATTTACACCTAGCCACGCGATTCAATGAACATGGAAGATACAACCAACACTATGCCTTGGGAAACCTTCTTCATCCGTACTTTAGAGGTTATAAGTTTTATTTCTTGGTAAAAAAAACATTCTTTAATATTCTTTACTTGTTAAAAGACTAAATTTAAAAGTTATTGTTTATGATTTCAGGATATATGCTTAGACATTACGGTATCTTCGAAGAGTTCACCAGAAAAGTCATCAACGATCATCCATCGTCGGACGCTGTTTCGATCAGTGAAAAAAATAATCATAAAGCTACACAAGTTAAAATGCCAGTTGGTGTGGATGAGTGCGACGATTTACAAAATATAGAGATTGAACAGGGTAATAATAACCACACCATTAGTCAAAATGTACCAGAAATTGAAAGGGAGTTTGAATCTTTCCAGGCTATGCCTCGTGTTGAAGAAAAGCATAAAGTTGATGTGCTGAAATGGTGGAATAAACATGCCTCTACTTTGCCATTGTTAGCACAATTGGCAAGAAATTTGCTCTGCATTCCAGCTGCATCAAGCTGTAGTGAGAGAGTGTTCAGCGCCAGCGGTGGAATTATAAATGATAAAAGACAGTCTTTCCACTCAGACAGCAAAGCAATTGACTTTGATTAAAGTCAATTATGATCTTGAAAATTATAAGCGATGCTGAAGAAGCCCTGGACCCCCCAGCATTAACTCCAGTTAGAACACCTTCCAAAAATCCTATTCCTAAAGCAGTTTTTTCAAATAACCAAAAAAGGTTATTGTTCAAAACAAAAAACGTTTCAACAACGCCATTATGTTCTTCTTCTTTACCATCAACACCAACATCTTCAGGAATCAAAAGAAAAACAATGGAAATTCCAGAAGAATCCGAAACAACATCATCCGAAAAAACATCCGAAAGTGACACTCAACAAGTATTAAAATAAAAATGTTTTACTTTTTATTGTGAAATTTTAAAATCGTGAAATATAGTTGTCTAAATAAAAACTGATTTTTCGTAAAAATCGCAAATGTGTGCTTAAATTGGTACAATATAAAAGTAAATTACTTTTTTATTTTATGCTAGCCCTATCTGTCGTAAAAACATTAGTATTTCTCGTAAAACTCAGAAATTTCTTGTTTGTTTGTTTGGTTTTTTACCGTTTTATTTCGGAAAAAGTTTAATCTTATTTCGTTTCGTACCGGTTTTTTCAAAACAAAAAATGTGTCCCGTATTTATCACGAAACCAGAAAATTGTATTTCTTTTCGTACGTATTTTGCGAAAAAAGATAAAAATTGTTTCGTTTCGTAACGGTTTTATCGAAACAATATTTTTCATCGTTTTGTTTCGTTTCGTCTTGTACCGTTTTGAGACGCAGACCGTTATTATTGACGATAACTTTTTCATTGCACATTGGCGCGAACTATAAAAGAGAGGAGGAGGGGGGGGGGGGGGGAGGGAAATATATTTTTTTCGCGATTAGATTTTTTTGCGTTAATTCGAGCCCTGTCTTAGTTTAATTTCTAATAAAATGTCTATTCAACCTTATCAATTTGAACCAAGCAATTTAACATAAATGTTAATTTAACTAAAACATTTTACAATCATTATTTTTTTTATCAAGCAAAAATGAGAGTAACCACTTTTGAAACCATAAAAATTACTGAAATAAATTTATTTTTTTACTAAGGCAATATTTTAAATAAACTTTCATATGTCTAAGTCAATATTCATTTGTTTTTAACTGACTAAAAAGAGTTTAAAATTTGACTTCTACTCATTTTTAGCAGTGGAATTGCCCTTATAACACAAATATATAAATTAATATTATAAAAAAAATTTAATATACAAATATATTTTCACAAAATGCTACAAAACTTATTCTTGTAAGTAATTATGTGTTAGTTGAAAAAAAATGACTTTACTTTTAAATTTAATTACCAACTAATAAGTTTGCAACAATGACATTTTGTCTACTTTGTTTAATTTGACGTACTAACGTTAGTTTTATGAGGCAGTAGAGTCAATAAACTTCGGACAAGACGCATTTTTTTTAATCGAAGAAAAGCGTTTTTTTGAAAATTAAATTTGTTAGTGTGTGTTCATTTACCGAGAAACTATTTAAGAAACAAACAAAAAAAAGCAAAAAAAAAAAAATTAACCAATAACTTACAATAACTTTAAAATGTTTTATACACGAAGGTACTGCCAGCTGTTCTACTTTCATTTCTAAACAACAATAATGAACTTACTGTACTAAATATAGTCAAACTAGGTTTATGGTACAAAAGAATTCTAATTGCAGAGTAGATAAATTAACCACAGCAAATTGACTAATATCTTATGTATATAGTTTGTTCTCTGTTCTTAAATATCTTATGTATATAGTTCGTTCTCTGTTCTTAAAAAAACACCATTCTCAAGAGATATTTTTCGATTGTACAACTTAAACTAACCTGTTGGTTCATAATATGTCAAAATGTACACATTTCACTTATAATTGAAAACATGGGGTTTCATTGTTTGTTTTATGTAAAAAAAGGATTTACACATATAATCAATTGAGACAAAATTTGTGATACAAACAAAATTTACCCAAAGAGCCAGCAGATGGCATTTTTGGATAACTTTTTTACATTAAGGACATGTTATTAAAATGTCACCAAAAATTTGTGCAGTTTTTAAAAAGAAATTAATGCTTTATTAAATACTGTTTTGTAACAGTTACTATCATGAGTTAGCTGATATTCATCTATCACAATTATATATTCATCCACCTAGTTTTGTGTAAATGTCAAATAGATTCACTTGGCAAAAAGTTGGGCAAACTAATTTTAATGCTCTTTGTGATAGTACTTTTGAAAAGTGGCTTTTGTACCATATGCAGAAAATGATATGATTTTTTTTACATGGCGCTTCTTTACTGGTAGATATGCTATCTTTACTGGTAGATATGCTTTTTTTACATGGCGCTTATTTATTGGTAGATATGCTATCTTTACTGGTAGCTTCTTTACTGGTAGAGCATTGCTCTACCAGTAAAGAAGCGCCATGTAAAAAAAAAAAAAAAAAAAAAAAAACACATGCAGCTTTTCTTCATCAATATTATAAAAGAAATTGATTAACATCTGAGTAAAATAAAAAATAAATTAAAAAATTACCTTTCGGTTTAACAACATAACAGAATAAAACATCCTAACAAATAAAAAATAAAAACATTAAAAAAAAAAATATTTTTTTAAAACAAAATCTCACAAGTTTAAAAAATTAATACTATGTTATGTATTATATGTCGAATTAACTTCACTCTACAGCAGAGGAGCGTTACTACTTCACTGCTGTAGAGTGGTAGCGCTCCTATCCTGATCTTAGATACTAAATCAATGGAGTAACCATTAAACCAACAACAGCAGCCAATCATTCTTATCTCAATATAGCAAAGCAAAACAATTATTATACCTGGCAGCAACTGAAATAAAAATTAGAAAAGAGAGAGTCGAATATTACTATATTCGACTCTATCATAGTCAGGGTTGGCAAAAAAACCCAACCCAAAAAAACCCACCTTAAAAAAACCCAATAAAACCCAAAAAAACCCAAAATATATTTGGGTTTTTTTAAAAATGTCCTATTTTACAACTGATAACTTTGATTTTAACACTTATAAATGCTTTATTATCAGCAAGTGCAACCTTTATACTGTAAATACTCTTGTAAACACTGTATTTATATACATAATAGTATTTAGAATATACCAAAAACCGATCAATCTGTTTTTGTAGCAAGTTGGTTATTTATTATTTTTTTTAAACATTTAGCAAGTTATTATAAATGTTATTGAAATATGTATTAAAACATTAAATTAGTTAAATACTTATAAAATAAATAAAAATCATTCTATTAACTAAATTTCAAGACATCACTAGTTATTTAGTATCTTTATTCTCCTCTTGAATGTCTATATTCCTTTATATTGGTATTTGCTCTTTTATTTTTTAAAGCTTATGTTGTAAACTGCAAATTTCAGTAGAAAGCCACAAGCAAAATACTATATATAAAAATTATTAAACTTTACTTACAGTTTAGAAATGGAAAGTTGTCAGGCAAAAAAAAAAAAAATGCTACAGTTTACTAGATTTGTCCTTAAGTACATACAACTCTAAAACTTAAAAAAAATTAAGTTATGTGCAAGCAAGTTTGCAACATGTTTGTTCATTCAATGAGAGAACATGTTGAAAACTTGTATGCACTTCACAAAGACAAGATTTGATGGTAAAAATGTCACTCTGTTTTTTGATAGATTTTAAATATTTTGTATCAGCTACAAGTTTACAACATGTACCACCAACAAGGGTGACTATGAACAGCGGGTTGAAAATTAACATCAGTATCAAGTTGCTAAAAGGTGAAGAAACACACACAATAGAGCTGTATAATGTGTTATTTTGATTCAGTTTGCAATTAGCATTGCAAAACTGAGCCGGTAAAACATCTTCAAGGAAAAAAAAAACTTGGTGGCGAAGACACTGTAATGGTTCTTAACAAATTTATTTTAGATATTTTAAGAACAACTAAAGTTTAGGCAAAAATCCATTTTTTGCCAGTCCAGTTGATCAGGTGGATAACTTTTTCAGGAAGCTGGACAGTATAATGTTCTGACAAAAAAAATGTAGTGATTAGGCTAGCAGTTTTTTTCTATGATACAAAAATGTTTAAAAAGTGTTCATAGTTAACTTGATTCATAATAACTTATAAGGTTGCAACATCATGTTGCAAACTTGTTGATTACATGTTGTAAACTTGTGCAAAATAGTTTTTGAAATGATATGTTGAACATGTTAGTAAAAAAAACTAGTTTGCAACATTTATATTGTCTTACCAACTTTGAATAACTCAATTGTCATAATAATTTTTATACTGATTTTTTTTTAGTCAAAAATATTCTGATTGTATTTTTATTTTAGTGCAATTAATTAACATCATTTATAGTTGATGGAGTCCCTTTTTGCACTATAGGTAAAATGTGCTAGTAGACTAGTAGTAAAACATTTGGCTCGCAACCAGAAGGTTGGGGTTCAAATTACCTCTGCTGAAATTACTGTGCTCAATCTATTTCTCCGCACAGCGCCTTTGTTTAAAAATTTTAGTTGTTAATGTTGTTTGTTAGTAAAAATGGTAATGTTAAGGTTTGAGACAAAATATTTTTAAAAAATGAGTTGCTCCCTTGACTGAAGTGGTCATTGGAGCAATAGGAAGGCGAATTTATGAAATTAAAAAAAAATTATTGTACTCATACAATTATAAAAATTTGGTATTTTGATTGGTTTTTCAAAAAACCCAAAAAACCCATAAAACCCAACAAAACCCATTTGGGTTGGGTTTTTTTAAAAAACCCTGGGTTTTTTCCAACCCTGATCATAGTAGGTCTTAAATAGTCTGAAAATAGAAGTGATGAAGATCTTGTAGAAGAGTTTTTTAAAGCAATTGAAGTAAACCACAAGGAAATTATTCATATTTGTTGATACAAAAAAAGAAATAATTGGTCAAGCAATCACCAGAACATGAACCAGGACAACCAAGATCCAATTGGTGTAATAAAAGTGTTCAAATCAACAGATGTAAAACTAGATGCTCTGGCTTATGGCAACTTCTACAAAGAGGAAGTGTTCAGAAGAGTATACATTTAGTAAATCAATATGAAAATAATAAACCATTAATGAATAACATTTTGGATATATTTAATTCAAACCAGCTACGCGCCAGACACTTAACTTTCTGGGTACCAACTTCATAAAAAAAACTGAGGAAGTAGAGGAGATGGCGTAGCCATCTACATAAAAGGTAATATCCCAGCAAATAAAACAAAAGTGAATCAACTCACACCAACAAATATCGAACAAATATGGCAAGTGATAAACAATAAATCTATCTTAATAGACTGCATATACTGACCGTATGATAATGCGGGAGTTTTAAAACAAATTATCAAATCGATCAAGTCAGCTAAGCAAAATTGTCAACACTAGGCTACTCACCTGTCCTAATCTACAATGATTTCAACTTTAGCCAAACAACATACAAGGTACTTGAGACTGATGGAGGTGCAGAAATGGTTGCACATATACAAAACAAACTGACATGCAATCTTTGAACAAATACTTTTTCATACAAATGGTCACTTTCCCCACTCACCATAGAAATAGAGAAAAAAAAAAATCATCAAGCACACTTAATTTATTAATCATTGATGAACTTGACTGCATAGATAAAACATCAAAAGGCAAAAGGCAGAGTTCCTAGGCTATGGAAGCTATCAAACTTGACTCCTATATATACAAATGGAAGCCAAAGGAAATCTTGAACTACAGCACAGTTTCTCTCACATCGGTAGCTTGTTAGATAATGGAAAGTTTTATACACAATACAATATAAGAGAATTATAAAAAATTGCCTTGAAAATAGGTTCTTCACAAAATCTCAACATGAATTTCTTCCAAAAAGCAGCTGTACAACTCATCTACTAGTGGCACATAACATTTTAAAGGAAGCACTATTTCAGAATTAGACGTAGACTGTTTCAGAATAAGACACCATAGACATGATTTACACAGACTTTACTAAAGCATTTGACAAAGTACCTCCATAGTGTCTTCTTCTATAACTTGAAGCATATGGCATACACGGTGAACTCCTGGAGTGAATAACTGACTGGTTAAAAAAACAATAGCAGAGAGTTGTTACTTGCAGAGTTCCAAGGTTCAGTGTTAGGTCTACTTTTGTTTCTGATTTATATAAACAACCTTACAGACAACATGGCACACCATATAAAGACCTATGCTGATGAAAGTAAGATCTTAGGAGTCATCAAAACAGAATATGATGCCATAAAACTAAAACTAGACATAGATCTCGCAATCAAATAGTTTAAAAAGTGGCTCATATTTTTCAACCTCAACAAATGTAAAGTCATTCATACTGGTCACTCAAATAGGTCAGTGCGCTTTTACTCAATACTTGACATAGACAACAACCAAATAGAACTTAGAACAACAATTACTGAACATGACTTAGGAGTTCTAACATCAAACAACATAAAGGTTAAGCATTAAAGCAAAGGTTAAACCTAAAGTAAAAGCTGCAGCAGCTAGATCAAACCAAGTACTTGGCAGATTATATTTATATAATTATACCACTCTAGATGAGCAACAAAACGATGGGATCTGATTCAGCAGTATAAAATTGCAAAAGGGAATAAAAAAAGTAAACTTCGTGGTTCAAGTATATACGAAATTGCTATCAGAGTATAATCTGCACAGACATAAGTGACAACTAACATGGCAAATTTTAAATACCTGCCAGGACATGACATTTTTTTTACTAATCGAGTTGTTAACAACTGAAATGGGCTACCAGCGAAAGCAGTCAATGCAATCTTTTTTTTTTAAACTTCGCTTCCAACAAGGCTGTAAGTAACCACTAATTAGAGTTGGAAGTTACTAGAAGAGAGAAGATGAAGATTGTAGAGCAAGATAATGATTGACAGACAACTTAAAAGATTGCAAATTATATGAATCAGGAAAGCAAGATGAAGGAAGCGAATTCCAAAGAACTGATATTCAAGGAAACTAGTGGAATAAGAATTTTTGGAGCACTTAAGAACAGTCACAGAAAAAGTATGAGACAAATAAGAAAGTGTCGAGCTCGATAAAGAGATGCAACTTTAGCAGATGCTAATTTTACAACGGATTTGATATATGGTTTTCAAAAAAGATCAGAAGTAAGAGTTAATCCTAGAAGATGAAGGGTACATTAATGGTAATATACTCATTGAGTACATTACCTTTATCTAATGCACGATAAAACCTATCAGTTATTACTGTTAGCAAATCAGCCGTAGAACGAGAAGATGGAAATCCATATTAATGATCAGAAAGTAAGTTATTAGATTCAAGATGAGAGATTAAGTGTTTGTTAATTAAAGATTCAAAAACCTTGCTTATGATAGGAAGAATACTAATGGGACGGTAGTTAGACAATTCAGATCGCTCTCCAGAATTTTTAAAAATAGGGATAACAGACGCTGCTTTCCAGCAGGCTGGAAAACAAGACTCTGATAAGCACTTGTTGAATAGTTTTGAAAGGATAGACGACAGCTCCGGAGAACACTTCTACAAGACTTTAACAGGTATGTTATCCGGGCCACAAGCTGCAGAAGAGTCTAAGCAGGAAATCAATTTAGATACAGGAGCTGGAATGATACGAATGTCCTGGACATACTGTGTGTCCTGATTTACATCATTATAGTGTGTTGCACCGCTTTATCAGAGTTTACAGCTAATATGTGATAAAAGACCATTATGCAAGATGATACACCTAGTTATTAGCTAACCATAAATAAAGTTTCATATGAAATAATAGACTATTATTCATTGTAGGCATAAAATTTATTAAACTTTTCAGAAGCACTGTATATTTATCTCAATTAAAACAACAACTCAGCAATTTTAAGATTTCAATTTATAAAAACAAAAATTTAAACATTATTTATACGATATTATGAGATGTGAAATTGAAAAAATAATTTTTTTTCAAAATTTTTTATACTTTTTTATAACAGGACGAAAAAAAAATTAAAATTAAGATTACAATATATATATATATATATATATATATATATATATATATATAGTCTTGCATGTCTCTTGCGTAGCATCAAAAAATATTTCCCATAAACTGTAGTTTTAAAGAGCGCGTTAATAAACCAGACCAGAAAAAGTTTTAAAAATTAAATTTTTTTTTTAATTGATAGACTGCCTGGCCAAACCAAACCCTCAGTCGATGTAGCAGCACTCTCTTGCGAGTCAGGCTATTTGTCAGTCGTTGTAGCAGCACTCCCTTGCGAGTCAGGCTATTTGTCAGTCGATGTAGCAGCACTCCGTTGCGAGTCAGGCTATTTGTCAGTCGATGTAGCAGCACTCCGTTGCGAGTCAGGCTATTTGTCAGTCGATGTAGCAGCACTCCGTTGCGAGTCAGGCTATAAGATAGTCGATGTAGCAACATTTACGCATGTTAAAAAAATGTTTTTTATTAAATCAATAACAAAAACACCACTAATTAAAAAAAACTTTCTAGTCGTTATAATTGCGGTTTTTTAAAAATTTTTTAAAAAACAATTAAATTTAATGTACTTCCGCATAAATTAATTGCTTTGACATTTCGATGACAATCAAAAACAGCTTAAGAGACGAGGTAATTAAAATTGTAGTCGTAAGAGACTTTTTTTACATTAAAATGCTCTTAAAGCGACACTATATGAGTATATATATATATATATATATATATATATATATATATATATATATATATATATATATATATATATATATATTTTAGATGTTTGAGTTTTGACACTTACACACATTTTGCAAACTCCAAACTTTTGCATGTTCATACTTATGTCAAATGAGAATGTTTTGCAAAAAAGTTGTGGTGATTGGAGCTTGGGGACAAAAAAACCCAATTTTCGGGCCCACCCAGCCCTTAACGTGGGAGCAACAAGTTGATAAAATAATTTCTTTAGTATTTTTATCTAAGTTTATATTCATCAACAAATTTTAAATTTCATGCAATAACCTCTTAGTTTTTAGTTTTTATGACCCTACAAAGTTTACAGCCCCCTCAAATTGAGGGCAGTTAAAACTTTATATGGTCATAATTTTCGAAAAATAAGAAATTATTGGATGAAATTTGAAATTTGTTGATGATTATAAACTTAGATAAAAATACTAAAAAAATGATTTTATCAACTTGTTGCTCCCACGTTAAGGGCTGCGTGAGCCCAAATATTGGGGCTTTTTTGTCCCCAAGCTCTTATCACCACAACTCTTTGCAAAACATTCTCATTTGACATAAGTATGAACATACAAAAGTTTGGAGTTTGCACAATACCTGTAAGTGTTAAAACTCAAACATCTAAAAGTCCAGTGTACACAACTGATATATATATATATATATATATATATATATATATATATATATATATATATATATATATATATATATATATATATTTATATATACACACACACACACACACACATATAGTTTATAGCAGTTTGTTATTGTTTATTGTTCAACCAAAACAAAAATATGAAATTAGCCCTTTCCTGAATAATTTACTAAGTTATATATATTACATATTAAATTATTTATTGTTCTTTAGATAAAATACTTTAGAGAAATATAAATAATCCAGAATTTCCAGCTTTACTCATTTACTGTAAGCTTTAGGATTTTCCAGGATCAATTTATATTTGATTGGCATTTGTTGATATTTTTAGTTTGATATTTTAGTATTGTTGATATTTTAGTATTGGTTAAAGTTACCTTATTTATTCTTATTTATTTTTTCTATATGAACAACAAACAATAGAACAATAGAAAAGATTGAGTTTTATTTTTATTCTTTAAATTGAGAATAGAAGTTTGACAAATGTTATAGACCAATATGCTTCAGAATGGTTTGAAAGATTTGTGATGTTATTTTGTGTATGAATGTCAAAGTAAAAATGAATTCATTTACATTTAAATAAATTTTTAATTTATTAAAAATAGAAATATATAATATATACAGACATGCCTGACACAATACTTTATCTGCAAAGTTTTTAAATTTTATGCTTATATATTTTTATTTAAAATAAACACATATGCAAAGTTATACACATGAAGTTCTGTGTAAAAAATGGCACTATAAAAAAAAATCTATTATCAAGTCAAGCATTAAATATGCACTTTTTATAAACACTTGATAATTACTTAATTGTATTTTTGTATTTTATAAAAAATAGGGCACAGCAAATTAGTAATACCTTTGCAACACGCTCATTTACTCTGCTTATGCTACTGAGGTCTTTCCAACTGGATGCCCCCATTCCATCAATCATATTGAGATTTTCTTCATCAACTAATCGTACGCATACAGAATAGCTGGTAATTAGATAAGAACTTAAACATAAGTAAAAGTGATATTTACACATACGCACACATATACAGGGCATAAATTACAATCTTAATTGAATCTTAAAGACATCTAAAGACTCATATTTAACTTTCTTGGTCTTAAAGGTTGGAGTCTTGCTCTTTGACCTTTACTGTGAAGCCAAGTGATGCATAATTGTCTGTTTTACTTCTTACATTAAGTACTTAAATAAAATATGTGAACTTTACTTTGATTTTTTTTGTAACTATAGCTACATGTGGCTAATTCTATATATATATATATATATATATATATATATATATATATATATATATATATATATATATATATATATATATATATATATATATATATATATATATATATATATATATATATATATATATATATATATATATGTAGAATAGATAAATTTAATAATAACAAAAAACTAACAGGTTTCTTTAATTGTTAAAAATAAAATGTACCATTAAGAAATGAGACAAGATTATCACATTGTGAATTAAAAATAGAGCTTTATGAACGCTATTTTCAATTTCATAATCTTATATTCTTGCACCTTTACCTAAAGATACATTTTATTTTTAACAATAAAAGAAACCTATTAGTTTTCTGTCATTATTAAAGTTATCTATTGTAAACTACAACAGTGCACTACACAGTCCAAATACCTAAAGTGTATTAAAAAAACACATGCAACTGCCATTATTGATCATAACTTTATTACCAAAGATAGCCTTGTAGCAGCAACATTATTTTTAAGTGTAAGAAAAGGGGTCAGTTACAGAGATCAAACAATGTTTTTCACCTGTGAATGAAAACTACTTGGAAGAAGAAATAAAATTAAACAGATAGACTGTTAGACAAAAACACTATGAAACTGTAGCACACAAAAGTATTGAAACACGAAAATTATAGAGATTAATTAAGAGGTAAAAAACTTGTTCTCTATTTTAATGGTAAAGTAGTTAGCCATATAGAAGAAAAATTTGAGCAGACAACTACCTGTGACCAAATTGCTGTTTCTGCTACAATCCCAAAATTCGGGCATAAAGCTGATCTTCTTCTGGGAGTTGTACAAAGTAACACTGGAAAATCACTTGACCAGGTTTTAGTTATGCAAAATCTGTTGAAGTACCCAACCAAGTTTTTGCAATATGTATTGACACTACTGCTACAAATACAGGCAGATTGCATAGAACAATAATGATTTTAACAAGAATTTTGAAAATCACTTTGGTTAATGTGTAGACATATTATTTATGAACTGAACATTAAACATGTGTATAAAACTATAACCATGATTAAAAACAAAGGCTCAACTAATACTAAGTTAACAACTAATATTACTTTGGTTACTAAGGTTATTTTATGTATGTTTGCGTTCTGTATGAACCTCTGGCACGGCTTTGATTTACTCCTAAGTCACTTTATATGAGTATGTTTGTGTTCTGTCTGAACCTATGACAAGGTGTACTCACCTGAAGATACTTTATATTTGTTTGTATTCTGTTTAAATCTTTGATGCAGTGTGAGCTCAGTTACTAACTACTTACTCCATCTATAAATCTCTACTCACCTTAGTCTCTAGTATTTTGATTGATCTAGTGTTTTTCATAATGCATTTCCAAAATGTTATGCCTGGTGTTTTGAAGTACTGTTTGCAGGAATAACTCCTTTTAAGCTACTCCAAGTCATCTCAGGTCCAGGATTATCATGACCACCCTGCAACTGGTATCATGTAACCCAATACTACCTTGCCCATGCCCTGCTGCCTTGCAGGGTGTGGTTTTTTAGACAGGCTAGCAGAAACAATATCCAACTTAAAAATCCTTTGCCTTAAGGATCTTGGTTGAGTAAAGGCTACAGATGTCTCAATAAAAATACTCATTTTGGGCAGATGTTAAATGCATCCAGATACTGTCTTGTAAAAAACCTCCTAGGTAAAGACTTAAAGGGTATAATTCTGCTAACCAGCCTCAAACCCTTCATCTATTATGCTGACGTAGATGTAAAATGAATTCTGGATCTTCTTGACTCTACTCATGGATTTCTGCTTGTGTCTCCTTGATAGTGGCTATGCAACTCTTGCAGTTATCTTCTAATGAGAGTAAAGCTCTAAAATTTAGTTAAATAGTTCTAAGGCCGGCTGATAGTAAGGTTTTCTAAACTTTGTGTAGCTCTCAGAGAGGCTGATTCCATCAACAGCTGTAAATTGTCAGTATATTAACAGTGCCATGTTGGGCATGGATATTTTTCTTGTTAATGCTTTGCGCATTATAAAGGCAACATAAGGAGCCCTAAGTTATGACTTAGGGTTAATTACCAAGACTAAGACAATTGCATAGCTCATTACTAATGAGGCTGTGCTCTTAAATGATGCCAAAAGTTTTTAACCAGGTCTTTGATCTAAAAAATCTAACATCTTATCTTGATTCAAATAACTTACCTTCAGACAATTAATGCGGTTTTTGATCTTAGATCAACAAATTTCTCACATGGCATCTCAAGTAAAATAACTTACTGTCAAACAAGTGGTTACTGTCAAAAAATACGGCTTTTGATCCTCTCCCTTTACAGATGACTTGCTAACTGCTGTGACTGAAAAATTTTATCAGGCATTAAATGGAGACAGAGAGGCTAGTGCTATTGTTCTTGACATATCTAAAGCTTTCAATAAAGTTTGGCATCCTGGTCTTCTCCATAAGCTTACTTCATATGGTGTATCTGGGAAAATTTTTGAGATTATTATATTGTTTCTTTTTAACTGCTTTATTAAGATCATCCTCAAAGGCTAATCCCCTTCTTCATTTTCAGTAGCTTCTGGGGTACTTCAAGGTTCTATCCTTGGTCCTGTGTTGTTATAGCAGCCGATTTTAAATCTGATCTCACTTCTGTAACAGATTGGGGTATGCAGTGGCTTGGGAATATTAACTCAAACAAAAACCAGTTATTTATTACTAACAGTATCACAATACTGTTGACATTCCTATATTAATTAGTCCTCTTTTTTACGTCTTATCACAAGCTAAAAGAATTGTTTAAATCTATCATAAAATTTGATGTTTGTGATGCAAATGTTTCTGAAAGCATTTGTAAAGCTATCAATCAACTGTTTGCAGAAAGGATGAGGAGAAAAATGCCATAATGCTTTCTTTTTTTGATTTCTTAAGCATCATAATTTGATCTAAGACACAAGATCATAAATGCAGCTACTTGATTTGTCAGCTACATGAAGCTTACTTTAACTAAAAAAACCCATTAGAGACAAAAAAAAAATTTGAAAATTTAAAAAAGCAACACAAAAAAGGAGTACTAACAAACTAACCTTTTTGGGCAAGATCTAGCCATATGATTGCAAATAATCAACTTTAAAAAAATGTAAAGCTACTTATCACACAAGATATTGCTGCAGATAAGCAAATAGCACTTATTTTGATTGCAAAAAAGAATGCAATACCAGAAAGGAACGATTGAAATTTTACAATAAATGAGTGAACAACCTGAGAGTGGGTATATAACCTCTGAGAGTTACATCAAGTAAATTGCGATTATTTTAAAGTAGGATTTTAATGTTTAGCTAATTAAAAATTTTGCAAATATTTTTTGACAATATTTAGTATCAGGAAAATCAAGTACTTCAGTAAACCAAAAATCTCAACTATTTTTTAAACCAACAAGCTAACACTGGATACAGCAATGGTTTTACACAACACAGCAATGGCTAGCAGCACTCTACATTCAAAAACAATAACATTGAACCTTAACTTGCTGGTAAATAGATTGCTAAACAAAGTGTACTTCTACTGCAAATGTAGCAAGTGTAGTAGTAGCACGCTTGCCTCATAAGCAAATGTAGTGGTAGAGTGCTTGCCTCATAAACATGAAGTTCTGATTTCGAACCCCACCATGGCCCTGTTAGTAACACGCTCAACTTGCAGGGACCTTGTTTGTCAAACAAGTTTTAGAGAGTTGAGAGAGAGTTGTAACCACAATGAAAACCCAATCCACAGAGGTGAACAGAAAATTAAAAAAGTGTCAAAAAAAGATTAGGGCTTCCATATTTTTATAGAATTTTGGTACAACTGCTTGTTGTAACAAAGTTTGTAAACTCATCAACATATTCTGCAACTAATGGCTACATATTATGTTGTTTGAATAGGCTTCTGTATATACAGCTTTCTTGGGTCATAAAGTTAATCAACCTACCCAAAACACGTAACAGTGATCTGCTTGATTTAAAAATTCCTAGCAAATTTGATTTACATCTGCATAAACAAAATGTCCTGTTTTTCATAATTTTGACACTATATGTCATTTGTCATAATTTTAACACTATATGTCATTTCAAGCTTATAAAATACTTTAAAAGTAAAAAACATAAAGTATGGCAATTTTATAGCATTATGTCTTAATGAGCCAGACAAGATAATAACAGTTATCAACCAGACAACTTAAGCTTCTTAAGATTTTAGATAAAAACAAAATTTTATTAATTCAAAATTTATGGGAAATAAGAAACCCAAACAGACTTGGAGTAGCTTTAAAGGAGTTATTCCTGCAAACAGTACTTCAAAACACCAGGCATGACATTTTGGAAATGCATTAGGAAAAACACTAGATCAATCAAAATACTAGAGACTAAGGTGAGTAGAGATTTATAGATGGAGTAAGTAGTTAGTAACCCAAAGTTAGAATTTGTGAAATGAACATTTACATTGTTTTTTTCTTTACAACTAACTTTTTATAGTAGAATAACTAAATTAGAAATTAAAATAACAATTCTACTACTTTAATTCAGAAACAATAATATACAAAATCTTATGCAACCTTACACAAATAAACTTTATATATAAATTTAATAGTTTCTTGAAAAAATAAAAAATATTGTTTTACCTTGCATGGTAAAAAGGCATTCCATCTTTGTAAAGTACTAAAAATGCACATTATCTAAATATATTTTTTTCCCCAAGAAGTTCTTAACAAATGTTAATAAAAATGTGCACATTTACAATGATTAAAAAAAAACTGTTTAATGTTGTTGTAATAACTTTTTTATTAAAGGTATTGAAGAAAAAAAGTTGTGTAAAACTGTAATAATCACATTATCTCTATTGTTATATATATAGTAAGTGTATATATATAGTAAGTATATATATATATATATATATATATATATATATATATATATATATATATATATATATATATATATATATATATATATATATATATATATATATATATATATATATATATATATATATATACACACTTACTAAAGCGTGTTTTGATAAGCATTTGCTCACTTTTTCTGCTTACCTTAAGCTATACCGTTTTTTTCGAAAAAGAAGAAGAAAAAACGAAGAATGATGAATGAAACGATTGCTTCCCCATCCCAAACCCTCAGTCGATGTAGCAGCACTCCAATGCGAGTCAGGCTATTTGTCAGTCGATGTATGTACTGAAGCCCCCAGCAGCAGGCTATTTCAGTATGACGCCAGATTGCTTACCTTAGTACGCAATACTATTTGTGTGTGTGTATATATATATATATATATATATATATATATATATATATATATATATATATATATATTACATAAATAGCAATTCTACTTCTGATAAACTAACTATATATAAATATATGTATATATACATATATGTATTTTATGTATATATACATATTTATATGTATATATAGGATTAACTTTTACTAACAATCTTTATCGGAAACCAAATATCAAATCGATTACAAAATTAGCATCAGCTAAAGTTGCATCTCTTAAATGTGTTCGCCAATTTATTACCCTGGATTCTATTCTTTATCTCTATAAATCTAAAAAGAAAATGTTTTGTAAAAATAGTTAGACCTGCTCTTGCAAACGCCATAATGTTGGTTCTCTTTAACTTTTCTATAAATACTGGGCACTGCAAAGTGTGAAGAGCTAGCAGCTCTTGTGCCATCTACTAAAATACATTCTTATGTTACTCGTCATTCAATTAATTCAAATTAATTCAAAGACTAAGTGCTTCAAAAGTTCTTCTTCATCTAGTTTTTTTCTTGAACATCAGTTCTTTGGAAATCGCTTCCTTTATCTTATTTTCCTGATTATACAATTTGCGATTTTTTAAGTCGTCTGTTAATCGTCTTGTTGCTCTATAAACTCTTTTCTCATCCAGTAACTTCCAACTCTAATAGGGTTTGTATGCAGCGTTGTTGGAAGTAAAAAAATAATAGTTTTATTTTTCCTTGAAATTAAATAAAAATTTCATAATCATAATATATAAATTATAATGACAATTTCTATAAAAAATAATAATTAATTTTTAAACTTTTATTTTTACAAAAAATTTTTAAACTTTTGTTTTTGTATTATATAGAACACATTTAGAGGGTGGGAGCAGATTTTTTTCCAAAATAATGTTTTAAACCTCAATATAGCCACCCTAGAAGATATATATATATATATATAATATATATATATATATATATATATATATATATATATATATATATATATATATATATATATATATATAACCTATTTCTTCACAGCTATTTATGAGATCTATCATTCCTTTTGTGATACAAATTTTAAAGATCTATAACTAAAAATTTAGAATTCTGATATTTTTATTCTAAATTACATAGAGCTTTATAGGTATTTTGTAAGGTATTATCAGCCGCATCCAAACATCTTTACTTTTGTTTTAATTTACAATAAATTTTATAAAGATTATTTTCTTTGAAAAAACAAGACTTCTATTTGTCCCTTATTATAATGATACCCCTATATATTGATTATCAGTAGTTACTCATTAACTGATATTACTTTTATCAATATGTTTTCACACTTACAAAAGTCTGTTCCATAAATGTTAGTAGTTCTGACCACCCAGCCTTTACTCCGAAAATAATGATATGCTATATACATTTGAATAAAATCGGCTTTTACTGCTGAGTAAGTGTTCCACATTTTAGTAATACTCATTGCTTCCTAATGAAATAAAAACCAAATATACTTTGTAAAAAAAACAAAACAGGTGCATGTAATAAATATTACAGTAACTATCAATCATACATTACTTTAAATTTTGAAAAACTTCATGACATTACTTTTTTAAATAGTCTAAAAATTGCCGAACCCAGACACTTTTAGGTTGACAGGTAGGTTGGCATTGCCAACCTATCTGTCAACCTAAAAAAAAAATTTAATCAGTCTGACAGCTGTTTTATTTGTTTAGAGGAACTATAAATATATCTATTCAAATATCTTTATTTTATTATAACAACAATTAGGACATTAAAAAAAAATAATAACACACTTAATTGTAAAACATAAATTTGCAAATATTTTGTCCACATAAAAGTTTCTGAGTCAAGGTTTTGTTTTCCAGTTAAAGAGTTTATGTAGTAACCTCAAAAAAATTAATATTTAGACTACAAAATAACTAACATAATTTCACCATATCTTTTTTTAGTAAGACTCTAGTGAATAAAAATAATTACCTTTGACTCATTTTCAACAGATAAACACCCAAGAGCAAAGGAGAGAAAAAAAGCCTATACAAAATATTTAAAATTTAATACAGTAATACAGTCAATCGAAATGGCAATCTTTAATAATAGACTAAACAAAAAATATCCAACTATTGTTTGCCTTTGCTAGTCAAACTAGCAAAGGCAAACAATACACATGAACTAACAATCAAATGCTCAAATGCCAGCCAACTCACATCTTGCAAAATTAATTATATACCTCTTCAAGCGTGAGCTGTAAGTATTCCAAAACCTTATAATCATCTTCAAGTTTAAAATCATCTTCCAGTTTGATTCGCTTTGTTGAAGCTGGCTAAAAGAGTTTAAAAGTTGGCTAAAAGAGTTTAAAACTAAGATTAGTTTTTTATAGCCTGTATAGAAAAATAATAATTTATTTTGATATTTAAAAAAAATAATTTATACATAACATAATACAAACATTAAATAAAACAAACATAAACATAACATAAACAACAAATAAAATACTTTAATTTTTTAAATTTTATTTAATTTAATACTTCCGTAAATGAAGATTTCAAATTCATTGTAAGTTGAATATCTTCCATATCGTCATCTGTAGAAAGTTCTTCAAGCAAATTGTTATCAATATCGCTGTTTAAATCTATACACTGTGGAGGTATGAAATCCACCTTCTCTTCCTGAATATAGAAAGATTTTATAACTTTTTGATATTTTTAAAATTCCTTTTTTTTAATTTTCTTTTTAAAACTGATTTTAATTTTTTAAAACTGATTATTAAATACTTTTTAAAATATTTTTTATTTAAGTAATTACCACAATATTAGATAATTACATTATTTATATAACATATTTAATAATAAGTTATAGCTTAAAAATTAGGGGTGCACCAATGCCTACTTCTGGCCAATGCCAATTGATACAGGGATTCTCAAATTGATACAGGGATTCTTCTTTTTGACTATTACATAATACATGGTTTTTTAAAAATGTCAAGTTAATGGTGAATTTTAATGTGTATATATATATATATATATATATATATATATATATATATATATATATATATATATATATATATATATATATATATATATATATATATATATATAAACGTAGAAAAAAATTTAAATAAGAAATAAAAGAACAATCAGCAAAGCAACTAAAACTCTTATAGACTATTTTAATATAAATGAAAATAAACATTCAAAAGCAATTTATAAATTTAGCAAAATAAAATTATCATGAGGAGGAACATCTGGCTGAAAATTTTTCTATTTATTGTTTTACATTTCTTGATTTTAAACTTATTTGTGTGCATAGTTTGGATCCATAAGTCACATTATTGCTTTTCTATATTATAAAAATGTAAGGTGCCCCTGATAAAAAACTGTTCAAAAAATATTTAAAGGTTTAGTGATTGCAGCTTATTTAATAACTATACATGCTATACGTTTAGTGATTGCAGCTTATTTAAGACTTATACATGCAATTTTGTTTATGGAATAATTATATTTTGCATACAATATAAAAACACAAAAAAAAAAACTGATGTTTTCAAAACAGCGTTGGCCAATGGTTACCAAGGCCGTTGTCAGATTCGGATTTTCCATTGCTATCTTCTTACTTGCAATGTGTTGATTTTTTTGAAAGGCTTTTTGTACAACACATCTTGAACTGCCAAAAACATTCCATAGGTGCAACACGTTTGATGATTCGTTGGTACCAGTTTTCCAAACTGAACCATTGTGGAAGCTCCATCCGTAACTGAGCAGACAATGCTGTCACCAATGTACAACCAACATTCGAACACTTTGTTAAATTTTTATGTACAACTGCTGGAGCATTTTTTAGCCAGCAGAGATCCATAAATTCGTGTCAACCCCAGATATGTGTCTTTTCATTGAATATTAATGTTTATGAATTTCAAAATTTCAAATATAAAATACTGATGCTTTAAAAATGATTTGGATCAGGAGATGGTTATTAAGATCGATGCCAGTGCGTCAGCAAAATGGTTGATGCATTGGCAGGCAGATGCCGATGGATTGATGCCCTCCTAATAAAAATATTATTGGTAATACTTGGCAATTCATGTAATATGTGTAAATTACAACATTTAGTTGCCAAGATGATATATTTAAAACTGTTCTCAGCCTCTATATTTGTTCAAAGCCTAATATCTTGTTTAAATGTTTTTAATATTTAAACAAGTCTAAAGATATTATTTAACCAGTAATATAAAAAACTAATTAACACTATAAAAACTGCTTATGAAATTTGAATGACGATTATGAAAAAAAGTTTACATGAAAACTACGTTTAATATTCACGCATTTACAAATGTAATAGGTTAAGAATAAACAAAGAAAATTTGTGCAATACCAAAATAGTGAAAACAGAACTTTCCTTACAATTTACAAAGAATTTTGATTAAAAAAGTTATTTAAATTAAAAAAAATTAGTTTTTTTTTCCTTAATTTTTCTTCCTTCTTTTCTATTTTTTACAAAAAATTAATTGCCTTGTAAACTTGTCAAAACTTATAACACTGCATCAAAAATATTCATAAACCGTGCGTTTAACTTTTTTTATATTTAGACAAGTGAAAGCCTAATGGTATATATTTTTTAATAAATGGTACTTAGAAACTTAAATTTTTGCCTCAAAAAAAAAAAGCGCTGGTAAAATAATAAACTTTTCTTTATTTTTTTCTTTGCAACAAGTAATACTTTTTATTTGCTAATAACTTTTTAAAAGTAGAAAAATCAAATTTGCAAAGCCACAATTTTGAGAAATAATGAAAACATATTTTAATTCATTTATACAGATTTCAAGAAAAGAAAGAAATTAATTTATGTTAAATGATAATAAAAAATGTAATATTAAATTTATATATTTAAAATTAAAAAAGTAAAAAATTTGAAACAAAATAGACATTCCACAATATGTACATATACAAAATAACACTTCTACATTTGTTTTTCTAAATTAGTAAAAAAAACATGTTTTGTGGTAATTTATTTTATGGAGGTAGTTTAAAAAAGTTAATGTCCTTAAATAATAATAAAAAAAATATAATTTTATGATGCCAAAATCACAATGCTAATGTGTTAAGAGGTTTTTTAACAAGATCTGTAATATTGAATTTTAAATACATGCATTTAAAACCATTAAATTAAAAATATGTATTCAAAACAATAACATAATACCTACCGGAACAATATGATTACACACGTTGTTACATTTCCACGATTTATGCTGACGTAACCTGTAAAAAAAGTTGCATTACCATTAACATGTTGATATAAGCTATAAAAGCAAGTCAATAAATGTTAAGGTTGATGCAAAAACTAAGAAGTCTTAAGTTTCTTCTTTTAAACGATGAAATTCCAAAACTAAATTTTGTTTGCTGATTGACAGTCAACATTTTTAAATGCACATTAAAAATTTCTTCTGGTTTAAAACAAACATTATAAAGATTTTTATCATTAGAAAAACTTTTTTATTACAAATATTTTACTACTTTATTATTATTATTATATTTATTACTAATATTTAGATTATTAATTTGATAATAAGTAATTACAACAGTGTAATATAATGGTAATCACAAGCGATTATTGTTAACTGAAAAGTAATTCTATTGTACACTTGCAATTACTAATAATTAAAATTCTATTAAATTATAATTAGTGTAGTGTAAATGAACATGGAATTATTCTAGTGTGAATGAACATGGAATTAGTGTAGTATGAATGAACATGAAATCTAGAAAATATTAAAAAGATTATAATTAAATCGTTATAAAAAGATGTTATCAGTTAAATAAGAATTTATAAATTATAAAACTTTGATTAAATGTTTGTCATAAAAACACCTTATTAAAAAATTACCTTTCCTTTTGAATCTTTGCAAATTGCAGTAGCTTTATCTCTCTTACATCTGTATCAACTTTCATAAAGAAAAAAACAAACAAATAACTTCAAATATGCTTATCAAGTATTAAATCACTTGACAAAAATAAAACTATAGCCAAAAAGTTTTTTAATTTTTAGAGGTCTAGATAATATTTGCTGAAGGTGTATATTAAGGTTATAACTTTTTATCAAGCCCATGCTCCTGTACTGTAGTTTGATGAACTTTTACCTAAAAAGTACGAAATGAACTATTATTTTCATATCTTTTCAAAAAAGTTAACGCCATTGAAAAATCAAGCCCATGCTCCTGTACTGTAGTTTGATGAACTTTTACCTAAAAAGTACGAAATGAACTATTATTTTCATATCTTTTCAAAAAAGTTAACGCCATTGAAAAATCGATTTTGACATAAGTACTACTATGTATTCAAATGTATTTAGAATGTCATAGTCATGTAATACAATAAATTTTCAATCCAACAATGACTCAGACCGTTGACCTTGCTCTTGCTTGTTGCACAGAAGGAATCAAAGGTGCAATTTGTCTTTATTTTTGCATGATAAATAAATTTCCTCCATTACTTTGATTGCGCGTTCTGCGCATTAATTACTTCTGGGTACCTGCAGTATGGATGGCTCTCGCTTCCAGTGATCTTTTAAAGAACTTAAAGCCTTTTTGTATGGATTCAGTATTTCAGCCAAGTTATTAAAGTCGTTTTTGTTGTACAGTTGGTTTGTAAACCAATGGTCTGCTCAGCCATACTCTCTGTAGAACTGTCCTTGTTGAAGGAATTAAAATGAAGGCCAGGATTGCTAGTATAGCTCTGGAGTTCCACCTCACATTGCTGATTTTGGGTATTTTCTGAAACCTGATCAATGGAAAATACCCCTTTTCCTCAAAAAATTGGAACACTCGAGTGAGATGAAACAAAATTTTCATATCATCTCTCCAGCCTGATGTTTCGAGAATTGCTTCTGCTCCATTATCAAACTGTATTTTCAGTTGTTCGTACTCCTTCAACAGTTGAGATACAAATGGATATTCGATGTTTGGCGATTGTGTTTTACTTCCAAGTTCTTCATCCATCACCAAACAGAGGATTTTATCTAATACATAGTGTTGATAACTGATAAACTGAGGTTTGTTGATGCGTTTCTCTGTGAACATTTGTTGCAATATTACAACAACACCATTCTTTTTTCCAGTGTTAACGCTGGTGGTATCTGCACCAGCGTTAACACTGGAAAATTTAAAGGAATTGCTCAAGGAATTTCTAAAGTCATTGATGAAATCAAATTCATCAATGACTTTAGAAATTCCTTGAGCAATAATTAAAGCCCTGCCATCTACCAAGCCAAGGACATCCAATTTGATTTCTCTTCTTTCATTTTAAAGGATGACCACTTGATAATCTATTCTGTTGATGTGTTTGCCATCAAAGTGTCAGGGCCAACTTTTCATATGCAACTTTTCAATTATTTTTTCCTTCAGTTTGATTGCCTCTTTGATTGCAGACTTGTAAATAGCTAATTGAAATGGAGTTAGGATGTCAATGCCTTCACGAGCAAATTGCTTGCATAAGTTAGCAGCTTTGTTTGTTGTTACTCTAGTGGAGGTCACCAAGTTGACTGCAATTTTGCTTTTATGATGTTTTCTGCTTGGTGTAAGAGTTGTCTCATCTTCTTCTTCATTGTTTTCATATTCACTGTTGTCAGCCCAAGAGTCAGAATCACTAAAACCAGGATAGTAAAATGATGAGTTGGGTGACTCTTTAGAAAGTTTTGTCTTTTAGGGGGATGGATCATTTCTTTACTGACCGCTTGGCCTGTAGAGTATCCGATGGTTCCTTTGTTTTCCACTTGGAGATAATACAATCGCTTGTCCTCGGAAGATAACCATGTTCCATCTACTTTAGTAATATCAAAAATTTTATCAAGGGGTTTGTAGCTTCCCCGCTTGACACATTTATCATAATATTTCAGTATTTTATTTGCTTTGCAAGCTTTGCACATATAACTTGATCAGATAAATAAGGAAAATTCAGTTTATTCTTCCACAATTAATTAAGACTTCTTTGGAAATTTTAACTATTCGCTCCTTTCTTCCTTTAATTTTCGGTCCAGAGAAATGGTAGCGTCCGATAATTTGCTTTTGGAGAGGCATTCTGCACTTTTCTTCCAGTGAATATTCTTCTAAAGAGGCAATTCTTCTTTTATGAGAATCTTCAAATTTTACCAGATTATTGGTCCAGACATCTTTGTTCTTCTGAATGCTACTATCACTAGGATTGTATGACGCCGTGTGTTGCTTCTGTAATAACTATAAAATTAGATGAGCAGCTATATATAGTCTAAAATGCTCTAGAATATTCCAGAATGTTCTAAATTGTTCTAGAATGTTCCAAAATATTTTAAATTGTTCCAGAATGTTTTAAATTGTTCTAGTATGTTCTAAAGTCTTATAAAATAATCTGTTATTTTTCAAAATGTTCTAAAGTTCTAAACATTTCTAAATTATACAAGTTTTAAATGATTTGCAGGAAAACCACACGAACTAGTAGTAGCAGTAACAATATTAAATAAATGGCGAAACATAATTTGAATTGCAAGGTGAACTTTTTTTACAACTGAGAGGAATTGAACATGTTTTCAAATAAAAGTTCTTCGATTTATGACAGGAAATTAATTTTTTTATTAAATCAAAAAGTCATAACCCTAGTGTATATGGCTCAAATTTGAGCATTTCAGTTTGTTTTTTATATTTGCGTCAACTAAAATTTTCAAAAATCAATTGTAGCAAAGAATATATAATTATCAAAATTACGTTAGTATATAAGTGAATTAGAAATTATGTTTGTATAAGTATAAAATTTAACAAAATCTTAAGGTTATGTTAAAACAGCGTGATAGTTAAGTTAATAATAAGAATAAAGTCCAAAACTAAAAAATAAAAAACATCAAATTAAATTATAATCTTTTATTTTCAACAAATTTAATTTTCTGTATCAAATCCTTCTAATGAATTCCAGAACCAGGTGTAAATATTGCTAATTGATGCAAATAATAATTAAAGTTGTAGCCAACGAACTATTAAAGGTAGATGATTGCTCAAGGTGTATGTAATGTATTTGAGGAGTATAAAATGTTAGTAAGTAAAGTAAAAACAATAATTAAATTTAATTTAAACAGTAATATCCTGAATTTGTAATTGAAAAAACTTTTAGTTCAACCTAAAGCAGAATTGTGTGCTCGTGGTGTTAATGTCTAACAAAATTTAAAGTGAAAACAAATATCTATAAATAAAAATAACAAAAACATACTTCCTTTATATTTTCCTACATAAATCCTTTTGGCATTTTCTGATAAAACATCATTATACTTTTCAAACTGCGGCCTACTCCTTGATAGTATACCTTTTCCAAAGAATCCCTGAATTAAATTTTTTTAACTACATTTTGTGTCTTTGTAAACTTAATTTAAAGCCACATCAATCAAGCATACATCAGTGGTTGTAATCAACTTCTAATGAATCAAGCAGTCATATTCACCTACAAAAGATTTGAGTGTTCACACTTACTAAATAAGTGGTCATATTTACAGAGTAATGAGTTTTTCACCATAGGTTATTAATATTTATTAATGAATTAAGTGTTTTATTAATATATTAATATATTAATATACCAATGAGCTACTAAAAATCTGAAAAAACTAAAAATCTCTACTAAAAAGATGGATTAAAACAACATATTTTCAAAAATACCAATTACATCTGTTATGCATATTAATACTATACATAATAATATACTGTTAATACACATTAATTCTATTTGTTATTTATAATAAAATGAATTTAAAAAATTAACATAAAAATGTCTTTAGAAATGTCTTATAGTGCTTAAGAAATAGGAGAGTTACTATATATTAAAAAAATAGATTACTATTATATTATTCACTATATATTTAAAATTCTTTAAAATTTATTATTTATTCTAGATCAAAAACCAAGAAAAAATCAGATTTTTCTTTTAAAAATCAAAAAACCAGATTGAAATTTGGAAAAAAGAACTTACTTTTAATAAAAAAATTACATAAAAATTGTTGAGAACTGCAAAATTATTTAACTTAACTTAACTTATGATGTTTTGGTGTACTAATGCTGATTTGGAGCAAAAAATCAACATTACAATCTAATTACAAAAATAAAGCAGAACTCCTTATGAGTTGAAAGTATGAATTTTATGAATGCATAAAGTATGTAATAATAAAGTTTTATCTAAAATTCGAAGTTTCATTAAAGGAGAAACAGATTTAAGTTTAAAGCTTTCATTTCATTAGGACACAGATTAGAATTTAAAAAATTAAATTTAAAGCCAATGCAAACTTATTTTTTAAGTTCACAAAAATTAAAGTTTGTTACTTAGTTACATATACAGTCTTTCACAGGAAGACGTGCGATTGTATGTTTTTATATGACTAGGCAAATTAGATTTTGCTTTGATAATTGGACTGCAGCTATTTCAAAAACATTTTAAAAACGTGCTGAATTAAAAATATTCTGAATTATACCTTAAGTGAAATAAATGACATCAAAACTTCAAAATAAATGTTTTTATATTAGCGAAACACTTTTAAATTAAGTAACAATTTACTGATAATGGTTTTTTTTAAAAGTATAATCAACAATTGTTTATATATATTTTAATTTATAATATATAAATTGTTTAAGTGTGCATTTTTTATAGTAAACGTTATTAAAAAATAAAAAAATTGTTTTGTTTTTATAAACGATGACATTCTAGGACAACAAAAGCTTCGTTAACGAATTTTAATACAAGAATAATTAAAGTTAATACATTTAAAAAGATAAAATTTTGTTGAAAAAAAAGACTAATGTTTTAGAAAGACAATACAATTAAATAAGTTTGATCTTAATTGCTTTTATATTATCAAAACGCTTTTTAATGAAGTAACAAAACACTTCTAATTAATTTTTATAATAAGTATTAATAAACTTTTTTTTTTAATGTTTATCTCATGTCAGACCGCTTTTTTTTTTGTGCATTGCGTATTAAATATTATACTCACATCATACTCATTGCACAACTCATCACACACATTTTTTTGAGCATAATACTCAGTACGCAACCTTCCGTACCTATTTTTGTTAAGTAAAATACTCAATACGCAACTCACCTTACGTACTATTTTTGAGTTTTTTTAACTTTTTTGAGTGTAGTAATCTAAATAGAAATTTGCCTTTAAAGTAATTTATTTTGAATAACGTTTTTCAAGCTGTTAGTAAGCATGTAAAGCTTTGTATTTGAAACAATGGCTTGATGTGTTTAAATTAAATTACATTCTGTAATTTTGCGTAAAAATACGTAATTTTATTTTAAAAAGTTATTTGTTAAATTTGTTTTGTTATTTTTAGGAGACTATAGATTTGTATTAGCCAAATTAATAAGGAAAAAAAAAAAAGAAGCTAATTAGATGTAAATAATTTTATTTCTATTTATAATCAAATAATATAATTTAGATTTAATATTTATGTTAATAATTAAAACAAACCATTTGAATCTTAACTTCAATTTATATATACAAGATAGCTTAAGCTAACTCTTTTTTAATGATATCGTTTGAATGTTTAATATGAAGTTTTATTATAGATTTTTTGCTTTGATATGTCTGAAAGATATGTTAAAAGAAAAAAAGGTTTAGACTTGACTGTAAATAGTTCTAAAAAAAAAAAAAAGAAAAGATATATAATGAAGAAAAAAAAAGAAAATCTGCTTGTAAATAAACAAAAAATCTCAAATAGATGTGATAGTGCCTTAAGAGATTTGTCGATTTCAAAAAATCAAGACCAACCCTTGTGCAGCAAAAGCTTAAGCAATCCTTCATCAACAAATTTAAGTTTTAAACTATATGCTCAAGAGAATGATGAAATTCAACACAACTTAAAAAACAACAAGTTTCCGCATAAAATTTTCAAGTTTGGTGACACTGAAAAAACTTACAGCTCAGTTTTGAACTTTTTCATTGCCGAACAGAAACCGATTCTAAGCCTGGAAAGAAAGAAAAACTACAGTTTACTTGCATTTATTGCTATAAAGTATTACATGAACGACTTGGTAAAAGTGGTAATTTTTTTAAGCATTTTGATTCAACACAATGTAACGCCATAGAAGATTTTATGGCTTGGAAAAAGGCTTATGATGATGTAAGTCTTGATAAAGAAGATGATTTGTGCTTAAATGACGATATCATGGATCTAACTAAATATGTAATATCATCCAATATGGCAACCCAAGAGCTGGGTAACTTGCATCTTAAAAGACTTTTAGAGCGTCATAAAATTCATTTACCATTTGAGAAGTCTTTTGTCTATAATATAATCCCTAAGGTAATTGAAAAGATAAAAAAACCAATCACGAACTATCTTAGAAAAGCAAAAACTGTTACATTAATAGCTGACATCTGGGATAGCCGCCAAATGGCTGATTTTTTTGCCTTATGCTGCCAGGTTACTTTTGCCGATTTCAGTAAAAAGCCAATAGTTCTTGGTCTTCAACAAATGAATGGCCCACATAATGCTAAAAATATTATATTAATTTCTGAAAAAATTTTAAATCAATATGATTTTGATAAATCTAAAGTTGATGGTTATGTGAGCAATAGTGGAAAAGCTTTTCTTAGAGCTTTTCCTCAAATGCTAAATTCTGACTTAGAAATCAGTAATTGGATTGAAGAAGATTTTTGGGAAGACTTGTTCGAAAATGATGATAGCGATGAGAATGACCAGGAATTGAAAGATTCACCTGAAAAGAAAATTGATAATGAAACAAACAAATTGCTTACCGAGGAAACAAATCCAATTCAAAACGATATTAAATTAAGCAAATTATCTAATAAGATTGACGCTGAAGTTGATGCTACTGAAAATGAAGTTAATGATGCTGAAAATTATGAATTTGGGGATCATAGTATTATCAATTAATTAGAGTTTGAACATGGTAGCAGAAAAATCCTTTGATTTGCATGCGCAAACCACAAATTTAATATTTTTATATGTAATACTGTGAGGTCATGCAAACGATTGAAAACTGTTTAGTCATTGCTTTGTTCATTTGCTAAAAAGTCTCATGAGACAATTAAAATTGCTCGAATATTTCAACAAAAAAAAACAAAGATTAAGAAATGAAAATTTAATTCGTTGGTCATCAAGCTTTTTAATGTTGATTTGTTTTTATAAAGCATATCAAAAAAATTGTTTTGAAACAGTAAAATGTCCAGTTACTCAAATAGAGATTGAATTCTATTTATCAATGATGTTCCCCACATATAGATTTACACTTTTTAATCAGAGAAATTGCGTACATATCGGTGATTTGGTACCAAGTTTACGTTTGTTAGAAATGCAATATGAGGAAATGGCTGAAAAAGAGGAAAAAAAGAAAAAAATTTGTGAACTGTTGATAAAAAATCTAAAAAAACAGTTTGATCATGAGCTTAACTCTGCTGTTTATGCAGCTGCTGCAGTTTTAAATGTTTCTAAACTTTACCTCTGGTATCAAAGACCAAGAGCCAAAGCCACAGTCAATTTAGGCCTAAGCTCATTAGTAAACTTGGCAATTGAATTTAACAAAAAAAGTGAAAAAAAATGATTTGACTGCAAATGCTAAAAATATTTTCACTCAAAAAAGTGTGCCTGAGGATGAAGTCTTTGATCAGTTTTACCAAAGAATAGAACTGGATCAGAAAACTCAGCATTGAAAACTTAGCTGACAAAGAAAAAGATACCTTCATAAATATTCTAAGAAACCATACTTTCACCAACAAAATTCAGTATAATGCATTTTGGTTTGATAAAAGAAAAGAATTACCGTATCTTTATAATTAATGTCTTATGTTTTACAATATACCGACATCCTCCGCATATGTTGAATGCTTTTTTAGCATGCGATGTAGTTAATAGAAAAAGAGCCGGCAACATGACAGATGAAACATTAATAAATTGTGCTTTTTTAAAAAGTAACTTAGCCATACTCAATGAACTGGCTGAATAAAAATATTTTCTTTATTCGTTTGTAGATAATTTTCTTAATTATTGTTTTGTTTATGAAATGCAATTACATATTTGAAACCAATAATGAATTTTTACTTTTATTTTCTTATTTCGTTTTTCTGATTTAAATGCATTAAAGTAAAACATCACATTGCTGAAAAACAAAATTCTACTTTACACTCAAAAAAGTTGCGTATTTTTATGCAAAATACTCAAAAATAATACGTAAGGTGAGTTGCGTATTGAGTATTTTACCTAACAATAATTGGTACAATAGATTGCGTACTGAGTCTTATACTCAAAAAAATGCGTATGATGAGTTGCATAATGAGTATGGTGTGAGTATAATATTCAATACGCAATA